TCATGTATTACTGGTTTGGTTGAACTTTTTCTTGTGTGGGAAAAGTCTTTATATGTCTTTCAATTCTAAATGAAGCTTTGCTGGGTAGAGTAATCATGGTTGTAGGTCCTTGCTTTTCATCACTTTGAATATTTCAGTTAATGTATTCATTTCTGACTGCTTCTTTTTAATGTTTTCTAGTTCTGTCTTTTTAATCTTTACCAGAGGACATGTTTTTATTCATTTTAGAGAGAGAGGGATGGAGAGAGAGAGAGAAACATTGATGTGAGAGTGAATATCAATTGGTTGCCTCCTGCACATGCCCGGACTAGGGATTGAACGCACAACCTGGGTATGTGCCCTGACTGGGAATCAAACTTGTGACCTTCTGGTGTACAGGCCATGCTCCAACCAATTGAGTCACACTGGCCAGGGCTTTCTAGTTCTGTTTTTCTGTTTCCTATCTTTTTGTTGAACTTCCCACTAAGTTCATCTACTCTTCTCCTAAATTCATTGAGTATCGTTATAACCAGTGTTTCGAACTCTGCCATCTAGTAGATTGCTTGTCTCCATTGTGTTGAGTTCTTTTTCTGGAGTTTTATTCTGTTCTTTCATTTGGGACACGTTTCTTGGTCTCCTCATTCTGGCAGCCTCCCTGTATTTGTTTCTATGTATTAGGTAGAGCTGCTATGTCTCCTGGCCTTGCGAGAGTGGCCTTATGTAGTAGGTGTCCTGTAGGGTCCAGTGGAACAACTGCTCTGTTCCTTGAGCTGGGCAATCCAGGTGATCCCCCCCACCCCCCTGCCGTGTGAGCTGGGTACACCCTCCTGTTATAGTTAAGGCTTGATTGCTGTTGGTACATCAATGGGATTTACTCCCAAGGCTGAGTGACTACAAGGACTGGCTGCACGCACCATGGAGGATCACCATGGAGCAGGACTTACTTCAGCGGGGCTTTGGTGCCTGCTGAGTCTGCCTCTTGAGTGTGTCGCTTGTAGAGGTGGTTGGGTGGTGCTTCATTGTGGACTGAAGCTGTCCACACGGTGTGCTGGCCCTGGGGCCTCCTGGGAATTTCAGGCCAAGGTCAGCCAACGTGAGGTAGGCAATTCTTGACTCCTGGGCTAGTGGTTGAGTGTACACATGCTGTTACTTTCCTGAGGGTATGGAAGTAAAAATAAAATTAATGTGTAAACTTGAATTACTTTCTCCCTCTGGGCTATTGCTTTGTTTTCACTTGAAAATGAAAGGTTGACCTTAATCATTTCCAAGATAATTCTAACATAAGATGCCTGGGCTAAGATGTCTATTTTCTGTTTCCTGTCACACAAAACACAATTTTAGTTAGCATTCAATGACGTTTTCATGTCTTTTTCTATAAGCCTCTCCCCCTGCAAAGAAACAGGTAACTCCCCTGCATGGTTTATTCCCAGGTCTCAGGCTGTGTGAGTGACTCTGACACAGCTCTGGCATTGTTGCCCTTTCTTGTTAAAGGTTTTAATAAATTGTGTCCTGATAGGAAACGGAGGCAGTAAAATGTGATTGTGAATTCCCTAAAGTCAAAGGCAAATGCAGTCTTTTCGCCTTTTGCGATGTGACATCATGTTATCCGCCGGTTACCACGCTATCAAACAACCCTGTTGGGTTTGGTGAGACTCGGCTCATCTTGCACAGCGACGGCAAAACCACCTGAATGCTTGCAATGCCTGAGCCCCACGGGGGATGAGAAAGGCTGGCAGAGAAGTTAGTCAGAAGCAAGGTCAAGCTGGGCAAATTTTAGATCCAATCTGCAATCCTGTGTTCAGAAGGAATGTGGGAGGAGATTACAGAGAAGAACACGCCACTGGGTGACTCCCTGGCTGGGGCATGATTCCCGGATGGGCACGAACGTGGGCTCGGAGTGGGCTCGGAGAGTGTTTTGGGAAATCAGGGTGATGAAAGCATTGGTAATGAGCTCCCGTCAGAGGGAGGGCAGTGTGCAGACCTGGCGTGGGAGAGCACATGATAAAGCCATGGTGTCTATCTGTATTAGCTTGCATGAGCTGCCATAACAAAACATCACAGACTGGGTGGCCTAAACAACAGAAATGTATTTTTTTTTCACAATTTGGAGGTTATTAATCCATGATCGAGGTGTTGTTAGGGTGGGTTTCTGGTGACACGTCTCTTTCTGGCTTGTAGATGCCTGCCTTCTCTCTTGGGACTCACCTGGCCTCTTTTCTGGGTGCGCATCGACCTGTCCTATGAGATTAGAGACCCACCCTTATGACCCACTTTAACCTTAACTGCCCTCCTAAAGGCCCTATATCCAAATAGAGTCACATTGGGGATTAGGGCTTCAGCATATCCATCTTGGGGGAGCATAATTCAGACCAAAATAGTGTTCATTGCAGTTCTTGTAAATGGCCTTTGAAGGTGAAGTGATTGTCCCCTTGGAGGGGAGGACGGAACTGATGGAGGGCCAGCTGAGTGTCAGTCATGACTGATTCATGACTTTATTTGGCTCCTGTACAACCCTGTCATGAGAGAAGATTGAAGCTCATAGTTGTTAGGATCACCCAGGTAGTAAGAGGTCAAGAAAGCATTCAAACTCCAATTTATAAGCTCATGCTACCATGTCAGGGAGGGGACTTCCACGGAAACCTTGCTGAATTCCTAGGGACTATGTCTTTAAACTTGGAGTTGCCAAGAAGCCTGCTTGGCAGGTCCATTTGGGGGTCTGGGGAGGGTCTCCGAATAGGGAAGAGACGTGATCAGAGTTGTGCTTTGGGGAGGTAACTGGCCATGTGTGGGCGTGTGGGTGTGGGTGACTGGTGATCATCTAGAACCTGTTGCCATGACACTCTGGAGAGATAATGACAGCCAGCAAGGGCGATATAGAAAGTGCTAGATTCCCATGACCTTGTGAGGTCAGAGTCAGGCTTTGGTAAATGATTGAGTGCAGGCCATGGGCCAAGGGAGGGAGTCCAGGAAGAGGCCAAGGAGAGCAACTGGGAGGACAACAGCACCCCTGATGGAAATGAAATGAGTTTGGGGGTACCCAATTCATCGGGTACCCCCAAAGCTCTCCCGGCCCCCATTCCATCAGGTGGTGAGGAGGTACCTCAAGGAAGCCTGTAACTGCTTAGAGTCCAGTGCACCCCTTTGGGGGATGTTGGAGAGGATTCTTGAACTTAAGGTTAATCTATGCAGTTAATCATTACTGGTAATTATGCACTTAATAGTACATTAGGCTTAATAATTCATCAAGTGATAAATGAAGAGATAATGGGGCAGGACGGGCAGGCTGCAGGCCTGAGGGAACTTTGATTAAAGTGGACTGTTATCCCCATGAAGCTTTGAGGAGAAAAAGGTGGATCTCTAAATAGCCTGTTTTCCTCCCAGTCTCTCCTTCTTCTCTTCTTCCTCCTCCTCCTCCTTTTTCTCCCTTCCCTCCTCCTCTTCCCCCTCCTCCTCTCCCTGTTTCTTCTTTTTCTCTGAACATACAAAACATTTTAATGTTTGTGTTACAAGGAGGACAAGATGCAGTCTGGGCCAATAGAACTTTCACACCCTGAGAATTCCACTTACAGGCAGAGGCAATAGTAATTTATTTCTTGTGCAAATTTTTAGCCCGGTCCCTATCCTTTTTTTTTTTTTTAAATATATTTTATTGATTTTTTACAGAGAGGAAGGGAGAGAGATAGAGAGTCAGAAACATCGATGAGAGAGAAACATCGATCAGCTGCCTCCTGCACATCTCCTACTGGGGATGTGCCCACAACCCAGGTACATGCCCTTGACCGGAATCGAACCTGGGACCCTTCAGTCCGCAGGCCGACGCTCTATCCACTGAGCCATACCGGTTTCGGCTGGTCCTATTCTTTTAGCAAAGGCAAGCGTGCCTACGTTGTACAACACACTGTAAAGTACAGATAACCAAAGATTAAAAGTCTTCAGTGGCACTAACCAAAGTTCACAGTTTCCCCTTCTTAATGGTGTCCGCCCAGTTACTCAAGTCCCGAATCTAGGAGTGACCCTAAATGACTCTTTCCATCACTTCCCACAGCTGACCCATCAACAAGGCCCCTCAGCTTTGTTTCTAAAGCAGACCCTAATCTCTGCGATTGTCTTCGTCTCTCCTGCTGCCACTCTCTCACCCAGAGGCAACAATAGCCTACTGCATGGTTTCTCTTTTCTCCCTTGTCCCCGACACTACACTTTCCACAGGCTTGAGAGCAATCTTTCAAAAGAAAATTAGCCCTACTTGGTTTGGGTCCGTGGATAGAGGGTTGGCCTGCAGATTGAAGGGTCCCAGGTTCGATTCCGGTCAAGGGCACGTGCCCGGGTTGCGGGCTCGATCTCTAGGAGGGGGCGTGCAGGAGGCAGCCGACCAATGATTCTCTCTCATCATTGATGTTTCTATCTCTCTCTCCCTCTCCCTTCCTCTCTGAAATCAATAAAAATATATTTTAAAAAATAAATAAAAAGCAAATTAGATCCTGTCCCTACCCTGCTTGAAACCCATCACACTTGGAATAAAATCTACACTTGCTATCCTGGCTTGCTAAGACCTATGGGATGTATCCCCACCTAGCTTTCCAGCCTCATCTCACACCACCCTGCTCCTTGCCCACCACACTCCAGCCACTCTGAACTTGGTCCTGCTTCTCCACCATGATGACCTTCCCGCTCAGGGGTCTTTGCTTTCCCTCTGACCTCTGAGTGGCTGACTTCCAGGGGAGGCGTGGTGGGCTGTAGGCTTCCCAGGTCTTCTTCACTATTGTGCAATGGGCTCACAAAGGACTCACAGACGATCTGATTTGGGGATACAGCCTACCAGCCCTTCCTCCAATCCTTTCCTTTTCCTCTTCACTCTTATTACCCAGGTCCCCACAGTCACCTCCAGCACAGTCAAGTTCCTGGCCCGTCTCTGCTCTTTCCTGTCCTCCTCTTGGCTGGCACGTCTCTTCTCTCCTTGGCTCGCCCCTGAGTGTCCCGATGGGGCATGGCGTCCTCACCCTCCTTTACCGTTGTGTTTCCAGATTGGAGCTTCTCTCTTCGCCAGTAACATCGGAAGTGGCCACTTTGTGGGGCTGGCCGGGACAGGAGCAGCTGCAGGCATTGCCACCGGGGGCTTTGAATGGAATGTGAGTAACATCAGAGACTATGTCCTGGCGCCGGAAGGAGCTCTAGCAGTCAGTCAGCCGGTTGAACCTATGCTCAGAGGTAGATGCTGTAGGTGTTAGGGAGCCTCTCCCCGCCACCCTGCGGTGCAGATGAAGGAGCAGCCCTTCAGGGCCCAGGGTCCTCCCCACCTTCCACCAGAGTAGCATGAGAAAACCACTGATATGAAGGCTACAGTGGTTCTTTCTTCTCTTAAAAAGCCAAGCACTCCTCTACCCTTTCAGTCATATTGGAGGTTTGGAAATGCTTATCACCAGATCCCCATTATTGTTATTATTATTATTATTTATTTTTTAAAAGGTCTCTAAATGGTATTTTTCTCCCTGTGAACCAGGGAAGAGGAAAAAGGAGTTGTGATGTCACTGGGTAGTCACCAGGGGTCCCCTTCACTGTTGCTCAACTACCATTCCCTTGGGCCAGTCAGGCAGCAAAGACCCCACCAGCTCCGATGGCCACACAGGGAGTTGTCCTCAGAGCCCAAAGAGAAACCGCTGGGGGATTGCTCTGCAGTGGCTGGGGGCCCCCAGGCGGCGTGATCTGACTCCATTTCTTTTTTGGTTTTAGGCCCTGATTTTTGTGGTTGTGCTGGGCTGGATATTTGTCCCTATTTACATCAAGGCTGGGGTAAGTATCTACTGCATGCGTGTACACACACACACACAAAACACACATAAACACACATACACATACATAAACACAAACATACATAAACACACAAACACACATAAACACATACATAAACACATACATACACACACACACACACACACACACACACACACGAGCTCAGTCCTCCTAGAAGACTATATAGGATAAATGGCAGAGAAAGCCTGTGCCTCGGTAGGGACACTAATTAGATCCACTGAGCCATGCCGAGTCCCTGTAGGAAGCCTTCCTCAGCAGCCTCACTCTAGGCAGAGCCCTCGGCAGCATCCCGCCCTCTCAGGCTGGGTGTGTATTTACAAGGCACTGCCCTGCCTTTGCGCATGATCTGTGGTATGTGCCTCTGCCCCGGAAGGGAAGCAGCATGAGCAAAGGATCACACTTCCCCTTCATTCACGTCCGCCCGCAGGTTCGTTTGCTGAGCGTGCAACTGGCACTCAGCCATCAAATGCATGCCCCGACTCTCGAAGAAAGCGCTGCCATTTTACCTCAGGCAGCTTTAGTGTCATCTCTTCAGTGAGATATAATGAGCACCTACTACGTGTAAGTCCATTGAAAGCGATATGGAAGAAACACGGGGCGGACGGTGCAACTTCTGCAGGCTGTCCGTGACAGCTGTGTGATCCCAGGAGACAGCAGGCTCAGGGTTGAGGGACCAAGACAGAGTGTGGTTGGCATTTGAGAAAGGAACTTGGAGAAGAGCTGAGCAGGCCCGCAGCCACAACCCTTGGCAAGGCCCTTGGCAAGGCCTGTGTGCAGCACACACCCGGCCGGGCCACCTTGTTTGGTGCATTGAAAAGGTCTCTAAATGGTGTCTTGTTCACAGTAGGTGCTTTGTATAGGAATACCTATCTAACAACCCCCACCTCCTCCAGGGCACAGATCTGCCTCCTTGGTTATGTGTTTATCGGGCACCTTCTATGTCCTGGGATAATACAGTTACCTCTGTAGTAAGGCATGTGGGACTGAAATGAGCAAAGGGCTGGAGGATAGCTGCCCGGCCACTTCACAAATTTCTCTGATCAACAAAGGTTAAGCCTAGATCACACCTCTGACACCATTGTAGCTGCCACTGTTCTGCTTGTTCTGGGCCTTCTGGTCACTCTGGCTGGCCGTGACCTCCCTGACATCCCGTGCAGGTGGTGACGATGCCAGAGTACCTGAGGAAGCGATTTGGAGGCAAACGAATCCAGATATACCTCTCCGTCCTGTCCCTGTTGCTCTACATTTTCACCAAGATCTCGGTGAGTCCACTGCCTCCCTATCATTTAGCCCGTCTCCCTGCCAACCTGGAGCTGCAGGCCCCGATTTCCAGAACTGAGACTCCTCAGGGGTTGGCTGGCCATGGGGGTGTATTTAAGAACTGGACAGCGCTCTGGGCTGACCCACTGGAGCAAGACATATGTTCCTTCTTCACTTCACTTTTCCTTCCTCAAAAGTGTGCAAATCAACTTCTTTGGTTGGCAAAACAAAACAAAGCAAAAGACTCAGGAAACTGCTGAAGTTCAGAGTCTTGGATTTCTTTGAATAGATACCCAGAGTGGAATCCATGGGTCATTAGGAAGTTCTATTTTTCATTTTTGATGAACTTCCATGCTGTGTTCCACAGTGGCTGTACCAATCTGCATTCCCGCCAACACTGCACAAGGGATTCCCTTTTCTTCACAGGTTGTCTTTTTTTTATGCCGTTGAGTTGAAAGAGTTTCTATATATTCTGGATAGTAGACCCCATTCAGATGTACGATTTGCAAATATTTTCTCCTGTTCTGTAGATTGCCTTTTCACTTTCTTGATAGTGTCCTTTGATGCACAATAGTTTTAAATCTTGACGGAGTTCATTGTATCTACTTTTACTTTTGTTGTTCATGCTTAAGTCATCACCGAATTCACTGATTGTGTGACACCAAAAAAATCCATTGACAGAGCCGAGGTCATGCAGATTGACTCCTATGTTAGCTCCTTAGAGTTTTATAGTCTTAGCTCTTCCATTTAGGTCTTTGATCCATTTTGAGTTAATTTTTGTGTATGATGTGAGGTAGGGGTCCAACTTTACTCTTTTGCATGTGGATTTCCAGTTCTACCAGCACCATTTTTTTTTTTGACGAGACTATAATTTCCCCACGGAATGGTCTTGCACATATGTTTTTCACACAACTCATTGAAAACCTGCTCTGGCCCATAGGACTTTGTCTTGGAGTTGGGACTGATGCCCAAGATTACTGCGCCCTCCCTGCCCAGCTTCCTACTTCAAACTGCTACGCCCCTGAATGGTAGCCCTATGCTTTCCCTGCCAAAGTGATGATTCCACCTCCTCTACTTTTTCCTTCCCTCCTTCGGGGTTAGTTTTCAGTTCCAGTCCTATTCCATTAGAGACACTGCCCTGGGAAGTACTGACGGGCGGGGGTAGAAAAACCAGCCTTCCTGAGTGGAGAGGGGCAGCCATGTGAGAGGAGGAAAAGAAACATAAGTGGGGAGGGTGGGGAGGTCACCCTGAACTTGGGGGCAGTTGGTAGGGAACAGTTCCTCGGCTCAGCCTGTGAGCTGTCACCTGTTTAATGAACACGTAGAGCGCGGCACTTGGACTCCCCTTCTCAGAAGCACGACTTCTCCAAGTCCACAGTCCAGGCGGGTGAAAGTCTGTTGACTACAGTTGCTATGGAAAGGGCACTTTTTGCCCTCCCAGCGAGTAGAGGGGTAGTCATATAAAGACACGGAGTAGCCAGCCTCACTCCCTGCCTTCCCGACCAACTCACCTGTTGCTCAGGTTACTGATTAAACCTCCCAGGACATGGGGGCCCCCAGGTAGCTGAGGGGCAGCCTCCCTCGGCTCAGGTCCTGATGGAGCCCATTCCCTAGCAGTCAGCTTTTCCGGAATTCTGCTTTTAAATGGGGCTTTGTGTGGGATGTTCCTGCTCTGGGTGATTTCTGGGGCTCCTTCGTGGAGGCCTTGCCCTGTGTCCTACCTGCTTCACCTGCTTCCCATCCCCAGCATTCCCTTGAAAAGTGCACAGGACGGACGATCGCTGCTCTTTATTGAGGGCCAATCTACTGAATTATGGGTGCCCCCCCAGATTTCCTTAAATACCGTCGTTACTTTTCTTATAAAGTTTTACAAGTCGGGGGAGCAGGAAATTTAAAACACAATATATGTTTTATGGATCTAGGGATATACATATATGTAGAAAAATATAAAATCATAGACCAGAAGAATACATACCAAGTTCAAGACAGTGTCTACCTTTTAAGAAGAAAGGAAATAGGTCAAGAGGGGAACATGGGACTAGATGGCCTATCCCATCCTGTCATCCTCTGCCTCCATGCCATCCAAGACAGAGCAGGACGGTGCGGAGAACACAGACTCTGGGACCAGGGACACCCAAGATTCAATCCTGCCTTTGCCTCACACCAGCTGTGATTTGGGACAAACTTCTCTGAGACTCGGTTTTTCTCTTCCAGGAAATGGAAAATGAAATTAAAAAAATTTTCTGGGGGACAAAATGCTCTCAATAATGGTCACCTCTGGGCCAAGTCATGGGAGTGGGTCCACTTTTACTTTTCAATGTCGAACTTTCTGGGTTGTTTATTTTTAAACCATATACATAAGTTATTTTACTTAAAAAAATTTTTTTTGGATTAAAAAAGACCTTGCCCTCTGCAGAAAATATCCCAGAAAGAAGGACCCTCATCTTTCAAAGTTGGGGGAAGGTCACTGGACTTGGTGACAGGTAGTCTGGATTTTAGCCCGTGAGCAAGTCACTGACTTTGTTTCTCTCATCTGAAAAGCAGAGCTGTTTACCTGTTCCATCACTTTATTTTGGGGATCCAAACAATGCGTGTGTCTAAACGCTCTTGGTAAAGTGTAAAGTCACCCGGATATGAAGGAAAAAATACCCTATGAAGCACGATACCCAATGGGCACCCAGGAGATCCAAAGACTAATGTCAGAGCACCCAGGCTAACGTGGGCGCGGCTGTGGTCCCCCAGGCGCTCCTGGTGGCGTTCAGGGTCTAAGGGCAGAAGGCATTCCTCCCTGAAGCTAGGAGTGACTCATGGGAGGGAGAATTTGTCTTAGGTTTTTTTCCTATTGATGAGGGAGTTTTCCTTAGGATTCGTTATGTGCCCTGTTCGCTGGAAGTAGAGTACGTATTATAAAAACCAGGGTTTCTATTAGCCCAGCACTTCTCATAAGTGTTTATAGATTTTGTTTATAGCTTATCTTAGGAGTTGTGTATTACTTATTTGTGACTAATAACAGCCAGGCAAATATTAATGAGGCTATCACAGTCTCCTATGATGAGTTGTCATAAAGCATGACAAATTAACTACTCTGGAAAATAAACCAATCAAGGGTGTTTTAAATGGCAGCAGTAATCTTGGAATATATACATTTTTGCTCACTATGCTCATTAGCTAATCTACTGAATCATACTTAACAGCATTCCACTGAAATCAGTGAACGGAGCCCTTTAGTGGGAGTAACTATGAGAAGATACGGAGCTATGGGAGGGCCGGGAGGGGCCTTGGGATTACTCATCACAGTTTCAAGTGGCCCAGTGTGGAGAGTCGGTGCCCATTTCACCCTTAGCACGGCTAAGGGGCAGCTGGGGACCCTGCTTCCTCGGCTGCTGCAGAGGGCAGGGTGGACCAGGTCTAGGACCCGGGAAAGAAATATCTTCCTCAATGGCGGGACTTCCCCACTTCCGGCCACTGAGGGTTTATTTATTTATTTTTTAAAATATATTTTTATTGATTTCAGAGAGGAAGAAACTAGGAGAGAGATAGAGAGAAGTATCAACGATGAGAGAGAATCATGGATCGGCTGCCTCCTGCAAGCCCCACCCTGGGGATCTAGCCTGCAACCTGGGCACGTGCCCTGACTGGGAATCGAATCCTGACCTCCTGGTTCATAGGTCGATGCTCAACCTCTGGCATGGAGAGGCACAATGTTTTATCCAGTCAGTCAGGCCTAGAGTGGCAGCGCTGGGGTTAAATTCCAGGCTCTTTCACCAGCAGCCCTGAGGTTGTTGTTGGTGGTGATGGTGATGGGGAGTTCTCTTTCTAAGTCACCATGATTCTCCCTGCCTCCTGCTTCTGCCTCTTCTCCTCCACCAGGAAATACAATGACATTAGGTCCCCTGGGGCTAGAGAATTTGTAGGGGACCCAAGGCATAGGGTTCTCTTGGGGGAGGAGGTCATGTATTCACACAGGCTTGGAGTTGGAGATGACGCAGAGGCAGGGTACAGGAGATTTGATTGGTGGGGACCCAAGTCACTGGAGGGTCCTGAGGAGCTGGAAGGAGGCAGAGAGGGGAAGATAAGAACAGAGCACCCATTTCCCAGGGCTCTGAACGGGTGGCCGTTTACATGCCCTGAAATGCATTAGATCTCATGCAATAAAGCATCTAATCCATTGCATCTAGGAGAAGTCTAGTTTCTTTCCTACCTAGAGAGAGGAATAGATTCACTGGCGGTATTTTGGAGATGCCATGAAAATTCCTTTTGGGTGACTCCAACGCTCTCTGTTGGTTTAAATTAGTAACTGCACTGTCCAGCCAGGTAGAAGATTCTATACGTGGCTAAATGAAGCAGGGAGGAGAAAAAGAACTGTAACAAGAACTGGTGAATTTAGGGGTGCAAAGGGAACAATTCTCCCTCCAGTTATATGAGTGAATCTAGATGAAACCACCTCGCACCAAGCCTGCCATGCAAGAGGTTCTTGGCGAGGTTCTGGTTGTGTTAGGGTCAAGATGGACTCCATCTGGGCTGGAGAGATACAGTCATGATGTTGCTCGAATGTCTCTCCGCTCCAGGGTGGGGCTGGGGTTTCCCTCCCACGGGACTCTCCAGCCCGCCAACTTGCTTTTGGGACTAGATCTGAAAAACCTTTGCACACAAAGGTGTAAACAGTGGATAATCGCTTAGAGCAGCAGTCCACAGGTTCCTGGGGAGGAACCCCAAGGTACCGATAGTGGTTTCTTGGCCTGGCCTGCGTGGCTCAGTGGTTGAGCGTTGACCTATGAATCAGGAGGTCATGGTTCGATTCCTGGTCAGGGCACAGGCCTGGATTGTGGGCTCCATCCTCCAGTGTGAGGTGTGCAGGAGGCAGCTGATCAATGATTCTCTCTCATCATTGAAGTTTCTCTCTCCCTTCCTCTCTGAAAGAAAAAAATATAAAAAAAATAATTGTTTCTTGGCAAACAGAGTTCCACAGTTAAATATATTTGTGGAGGGTCCTTTACTATGCTTCCCTCCTGGGGTTCACAGCACACGCTGTATATTGAAGGCTCAGAGGGGTTGTGTGGTAAAGAAACTGCCTTAATGTTGTTTAATCCGGCATTTCACAGGCCTCTTTGACCCTAGCATCCTTTTCTCCTCCTAGAATATCTATTATGAGCTTAAATAAAGCTTGTGGAAAGCTTAGGGAGAGAGCAGGACTCTCGGGTGTTCGTATCCTTTTATTTTTATTTCATTGTGAGAGGAACACTCAGCCATGTGACCTGTCCCTGTCACAGGTTTTGAGTGTACCATTCACTGTTGTCGGCTTCTAAGTACAATGTTGTGCAGCAGATGCCGAGAGCTTGTTCATCTTACGTAACTGAGACTCTGTGCCGACTGATGAGTAACTCCCCATCCCCCCCAGCACCTGCTACCCACCATTCCAGTCTTTGATTTTATGAATTTGGCTATTTTAGCTAGACATGGAATTGTGCAGTACTTGTCTTTCATATTCTTAACCGGGGTTAAAAAGACGAACCTTTGATTGTGCTATTTCAGCCAAAGGGCAAATGAGTGTGGGTCAATACTAGACCCTAGAAATCACTGGCATCGACATTCCCCAGAAGACAGCTTCTGCTGGCTCCTTCAGGTTCACCTCCTGGCCCTGCAGCCAGCTGGTCTCTCTCACCCCTAACGCACCTCTCCTCTCCTTCCAGGCAGACATCTTCTCTGGGGCCATCTTCATCAACTTGGCCTTGGGCCTGGATCTGTACCTGGCCATCTTTCTCTTATTGGCAATCACTGGCATTTACACCATTACAGGTGAGTTATTCAAATGACTCGACTCAAGCCCAGTCCAGAGTTAGGCACTTGGGAAGGAGGAAAGCGAGTGTCTTCACTCGAGGAAAAGAGATACACCCAGGAAACAGATCGAGGATGGGGGATTGGCTTGTACAATGATTTGGGAATCACAGACCCTGACAAGTTATACGGGTTGCCCCCAGAAAACTCCAAGGTTGGCTGGAATAGTCAAGACAGCTTCTTCCAGGAGGCGGGGCAGGGCTTGCCCTTGCAGGTTGTGAAGAGAGAACTTGGCTAAGTTGGGAGAGTCGGGGAGGGAGTGCCAGGTGCAGGGACAGGTGAGAGCAAGGAATGGAGGCAGGAATGGGCATGACGCAGGGCAGAGGCAGGGTGAGAGCAGATGCATTTAGTTGGAGGAGGGTGGTCAATGGGAGGTAGGTGTGTGTGTGTGTGGGGGGGGGGTATGTTAGGGCCTGATAATTCAAATGAGGTCACAGGGCAGGAGCCTTAGAAGCCAAACAAAGGTCTTGGAATTGATGTGACCAGGACTGGGAGGCACTGGGAGGAAGAAAGAAGGGAGTAACACATGCAAAGAGATTCTAGAGGAAGACTCAAAAGGTGACAGGAGAAGCTGATGACATGAGTAGCAACTGGGGGCACCTCTGAGGAGGTGTTGCTCTGCCCAGTCCAGGGGCCAGGCTCAGTGATGGAACTTGCTGCTCAGCTGGAGCTTCATATGAGCTTTGGGGACAAGAAGTAGTTAGAGGGTCTGAGAATAGAGTCAACATACAAGTAGCCCTTTAAATGTGTCCATTTGGTAATGTCCCCAGACATTTTGTAGAGATGTCAGCTCTTTGCTCTTCCTGCCTTCATTTGTGGCAGATGCTTTTTCTTTCTTTCTTTTTTTAAAAAATATTTTTTTATTGATTTCAGAGAGGAAGGGAGAGGGAGAGAGAGATAGAAACATCAATGATAAGAGAGAATCATTGACCAGCTGCCTCCTGCACGCCCCACACTGGGGATCGAGCCCGCAACCCGGGCATGTGCCCTGACTGGGAATCGAACCATGACCTCCTGGTTCTTAGGTCGATGCTCAACCGCTGAGGCACACCGGCTGGCCCAGATGCTTTTTCTTACTACAGAGGAGCCATCTCCTGGCTTAAAAGGATCACATCGAGCTCTTCCTCCTCCAATAGGGAGAAACATTTCTCCTTTCCTCAAGGTCTTTCCAGCATTGCTGTGACGAGTGGAGATGTTGGATCATGCTGGGTGGCAGACTGTTGTCACAGGACAACAGGAGGAAGGAAGGGGAGGTGGGCGACTGAGGGGTGTGTTCACACGGTGTGCAGAGCGAGAGGGGCAGCAGTGGGTCAGGAGGCAGGCTGCCTGGTTGCTCTCCTGCGTGCGGTCAGATACATTGTCTCCTTGTCCGCGTAGGGGGCCTGGCGGCTGTGATTTACACGGACACCTTGCAGACGGCCATCATGCTTGTGGGATCTTTCATCCTGACCGGGTTTGGTAAGTGGGGCTGCGGAGGCGGGGAGGCTGAGGTAGAGGCCCAGGGAGAGAAAATCAAGTCCAGGGTCTCTGCCTGCCTTTCCCAGAGGAGTGGTCCAGCCCAGAGCGGCCATCACTGTGGGTGTGCAGGGGGCACCTTCCTCAGCCCTGGAGGTCCCAGGGTGGGCCTGACCCGGACAACGCCTGTATTCCCTGCTACCCCCTCTAGACACTCGGGGCCAGTGGTCCCCACTGGGAGTCTGTGATGATGTAGTCTCCTCTCCACAGAGAAACTGGGCCAAAAAAAAAAAAAAAAGGATAAGACTTAATATGAAATATATTCAAATGTGTCTTAAATCTCAGGTTATATCTTATCTACATTTTGGTGTCAAATGTCCTTTCTTTTATGAATCGATGATAGTGAGTGATTATTTGCTTGCTTATGTCCTTATTTGACAACATTTTTAAAGCCCAGCCACTCTCTATTGGCCCCTCTCCCCCCTAATGTTGTAAACTGTCATCTGTCTGTGGAACCCTAAAGGCAAGGCTAGACACCCTCGCTCTAGAGGCAGTCGATATGGGAGGATGGAAAATGCATTGTATTCTGAAGGGGCCCAGGTTCTCGGGGTGTCCTGTGAAGCCTCTGATCTGCCTTCTATCTTCCAAGAGCTTCCATTGGGCTTCCCCAGGGGTGCTCCCGGGGGGTTGTGGGGGGCGGGGGAGCAGAGGAGGCTGTTCGCAGGACAGGGACTGGAATGCCTTCTTCAAGGACACAGTCACCAGGGGGCCGGGCTCCAGGCTCCTCACCCATGCTCTGCTCATCCCTGCACTTGGCTGGGACCAGGGGTGGCAGGGCCTAGTTTGTGTCTCTAGGTCTGTGTCTGGGGTCCCAGAGGCCACTGCTGACAGTAGCGGGGGGGGGGGGGGGTGGGGAGGGGAAAACAGAGTTTTTGAACCTGGTTCCAAACCAAGGTCTTTCTTCTAATAAGTCAAGTAGCTTCCCTTTGTAACGATGCTTAGGGTTGGAGTCCGTTCATGGGTCACTGCTTTGGAGCCTCAGAGTAGCCCCCGAGGAGGCTGGGCAGGGGTAAGGATCACAAAGCCGAGGCCAGAGAGCGACTTGCCCGAGGCCACACGGAGGGCCCTGGCTGTGGGGCAGGACCTCTCGGTGTCTCGGGCATCCACAGGGGAAACTGCCGTGAAGAGTGGAGAGTTGCGGGATGCTGACTTTTATGACTGATGTTTTTCAGCTTTTAATGAAGTGGGAGGGTACGGGGCCTTCATGGAAAAGTACATGAACGCCATTCCGACCAAAGTTTCTGACGGAAACATCACCATCAATAAGGAATGCTACACGCCCAGGAACGACTCCTTCCACATCTTCCGAGACCCCCTCAAGGGAGACCTGCCGTGGCCGGGGCTCATCTTTGGGCTGTCCATCCTCGCCCTGTGGTACTGGTGCACGGATCAGGTACCCACACTGGATGTGCCGGGGGGACAAGGTCTCCCCCGGGGTGCTGCAGGAACTCCTGTCTGTCTGTCTGTCTGTGGCTTGTGGGGTTGGGAAAGGTAGGGCAGGGCTCACGCGGTCTGGGGGTCACTGACCCTTGGTAACATGGGAGTGCCAGGCCAAGCACCCAGGATGTGGGGGAGGGGAGCTGGGGTGGCCAGAGGCGTCAGGATCGGCACCTCACCTTGCCTTTCCTGCCAGGTCATTGTGCAGCGCTGCCTGTCAGCCAAAAACATGTCCCACGTGAAGGCGGGCTGCGTGATGTGTGGGTACCTGAAGCTGCTGCCCATGTTCCTCATGGTGATGCCAGGAATGATCAGCCGCATCCTGTACACAGGTGATGCCTTCTGCTGGCCTCAGTGGCCACTCTCCCCCATTCCTGGCTCTGAGCCACTTCAAAAGCCCTGTCGCTCCCTGCTCCTTCCGTTCCTCCTCCTCCTCCCCCTCCTCCTCCTTTTCCTCTTCCTCCTCTTTCTTTTCTTGCCATGCATTGCCAAGTATTATTGATCTCCCCCAGCGGTTCTCAACCTGTGGGTCGCGAACAATGAAAATACATCCTGCATGTCAGATATTTACATGATGATTCGTAACAGTAGCAAAATTACAGTTATGAAGTAGCAACGAAAATAATTTTATGGTTGGGGGTCACCACAACACGAGGAACTGTATTAAAGGGTCGCGGCATTAGGAAGGTTGAGAACCACTGCTCTAGACAGTGAGCAACTTGAGGTCACAGAAGCCACAGAATTGCCTCCCCTGGTTTTTGCAAATTCTCTGAACCAGGAGGTCACGGTTCAATTCCTGGTCAGGGCACAGGCCCAGGTTGCAGGCTCGATCCCCAGTGTGGGGTGTGCAGAAGGCAGCTGATCAGTGATTCTCTCTCATCATTGATGTTTTTATCTCTTTCTCTCTCTCTCTCCCTCTTTCTACCGTTCTCTGAAATCAGCGAAAACATATTTTTAAGAAAGAAAGTGAATCTTGAACGTATTTCCCTGATGTCTGCTCGCTGACACGGCTCTTCATCTCTCTCCAGATAAAATTGCCTGTGCTCTCCCCTCGGAATGTGAGAAATATTGCGGCACCAAGGTTGGCTGTACCAACATCGCCTACCCGACCATGGTGGTGGAGCTCATGCCCAATGGTGAGATTCGTCCCCACTGGCGGGGTCTTTCTTGGGAGGCTGATTGGGCTCGGGCTTCTCGTGGATTCTGTGGGCCTTCTGGGCAAGGCCATTTCCATGCCTGGAGGTCAGTTGGGGAAGCCTCATTCCAGGTGTCCTCAGTTTTTGAGCAGGTCTTACCTTGTGGCCAGCAGACATAGGACTAGGTTGGCTCTCAGACCTGGCACTGGTCTGTTGTAGTCAGGCTCGGAAAGGAGATGACCTGAAAATGCGTTAGGGAAAAACACGGCTTTTCCATGTTCATCTGGAAGGTCTTTCAAAGTTCTCCTACAGACGTTGACATGGCGGCTTGAACTAAGTGGAGTTTTCCCTGGAGAATGAATGAAAAACATGGAGAGAAAGGCAAGGAGTGGTTTTAGCTCTAGCATGAGGACGTTTGAGGCAGTTGATGGATGGGATACAACTTCTCACTACAGAGAATGTGTTCTCCTAGAAGATTGAGAACATAGAGTCCACTTTGGTTAGAGTTTTGGGGTAGACCTGTGGGGTTACTTTTCATATTGCATAAGGAAGAAAAATCTAATTCTGGCTCAAGAGATGCAGATTTAGTTAGGTTAGGGGGTCTCGGGAGATCCAAAATTCAAAGGTATTGGCCAGGAAAATTTAGAATAAACTTCTACACAATTTTATCACTGAAAGGAAATGTAGAGATCATCTAATCAAACTTCTTCATTCTGCAGTTGGGGAAACTGAGGCCCGCAGAAGGAAAGTGACTTTTCCAAGCCACACAGCAACTCAGCGTCTGGCTTGTATAATTCTGCTCAAGGCTGGAATTGAGGAATTTGAGATGGCCTTAAAAAAAAACACTGGATGCATCACCTTGTGCAAACCATTTGGATTCAAATTCTATAAACATGGGAGTAATAGTTAACTATTCCACTTAGCTGGGCTGCTTATTAATTAAGGTTGCAATTAATAAGAATCACATGGCTCTTTTATTTTACTTTTTTTTTGTTAATCCTTGCCAGAGGATATTTTCCCATTGATTTTTAGTGAGAGTGGAAGAGAGAGGGAAAGACAGAAACATCGATGTGAGAGAAACACATTGATTGGTTGCCTCCTGCATAAGCCCTGACCAGGGCCCGGGCTAAGAAGGAGCCTGCAACCAAGGCATGTGCCCTTGATCGAAATCGAACCTGGGACCCTTTGGTCTGCGGGTCAACCCTCTATCCACTGAGCCTAACTGGCTAGGGCAAATCCTAGTTTAAATATTTCTGCTATATCATGGATCTTTTGAATTAGAGATCTTATAAAAGTCCGCTCAGATGGAAACACACACACACACATGCGCACACACACACACACACACACACACACACCATCACCACCATCATCCAACTGCAAAGTGTTAGCCTCATATATATTTTATTCTTACCTCTTTGTTGACTGCTGTGGGATTGCAATATAATGTAAAGCCACAGTCCATTCCGTAAAATGTCTAGTTTTTCTGGAGAGATACATCAAAGACCAACCATGGCATGATTTCAGAAAGCAAACAAACATTGAGTCCTCCCATGTTCCAAGTGTGAAAGAGCTGAGGTGTGGTGTGTACCACTCAGAACCCCCTTCTCTTTCAGGGCTGCGAGGCCTGATGCTGTCAGTCATGTTGGCGTCTCTCATGAGCTCCCTGACCTCCATCTTCAACAGCGCCAGCACCCTCTTCACCATGGACATCTACACCAAGATCCGGAAGACAGCAACGGAGAAAGAGCTCATGCTTGCAGGAAGGTACATGAAGCTCCCACCTGCCTCCACCAGGAGGCTTGAATAATTACTGTATAGGGTTCCCTCCAGCTAGGGAAGACGGCAGATGCTTGGGTAGCGTGGGAGTAGCCTCTGTGGCCAGTTATATTTTCATTCCAGTGGCATCGGCTTTGAAATGCCCATTTGGAGTGAGAAGGGACATCAGGGACCATCTAATCTAACTCCCAATTTATCAATGAGCAAAATGAGTGCTTACTATTTGCTCATCTATTTGCCCACTATTGGTTTGACTATAGCTAATCCTCATCCCAACCTTGCAAGGTCAGTGATATTATTCCCAGTGTACAGTGAGAGAAATTGAGACTCTCAGAGGTCAAGCAAGGTGTCCTATGTCACAAAGAGAGAAGAACAATTTGAATCCAGGACTGTCTGGATCCAAAGTCCACACCCCTTTGTTCCTACACTCGGCTGCCTCTCAAAGTGGGATCTCTTGTGGTAGCGGCTGGTTTAGGTGACTATTGAAAGTCAAGTGCGTTTCACTTATAGGTACAGATGACTTTCTCGGGGAGGCAGAATATGGGAGAACAAAAGCCTCAAGAATGAATTTGCTAATTATGTTTCCTTTGCTGTGGTCATATTGTATGTGTGTGTGTGTGTGTGTGTGTGTGTGTGTGTGTGTGTGTGTGTGTATACATACTTGCTCATATATCCTAGAGGCCCAGTGCACAAAATTCGTGCACAGGTAGGGTCGCTAATGGCTGCCTGCTGGGGTCTTCCTTTGTTCCGCGCTGCCCCTTGGTGGTCAGTGCAGGTCATAGCAAGCAGTCGAACTCCTGAGGGGACACTTTGCATATTAGGCTTTTATATATATAGATTTATTCATGTAGAGCCAATTATTGACACTATTGCGGGGGCTTTGCTTTCAGAGTGTTCATCCTGGTGCTGATTGGCATTAGCATCGCCTGGGTGCCCATCGTACAGTCAGCACAAAGTGGGCAGCTCTTCGATTACATCCAGTCCATCACCAGTTACTTGGGACCCCCCATCGCAGCTGTCTTCCTGCTTGCTGTTTTCTGCAAGAGAGTCAATGAGCACGTAGGTAGCATTTGTGTGTAGCCGAAAAGGCCCTCTCTGGTGCAGAAATCCCCACCTGGATGTGCCTGCTCTCTATGGGAGGGATTCTGTTTCCCAGCGCTCTCCAACGGGAATGGGTGCGCTGCTGAGGGTTTGGATGGCAGTGCTCCCATGTTCCGCACTCCCGTGCTCCGGCTTCAGATGGCCTGGAGCTATCCTTTCTCTCACCTTTCTTCTCCTGCCTCTGCCCCTCCGGCGTGCACAGCTGTCTTGTGTGTTCAGCAGTTGGTAACCCAAGGTTTTCTTTCCCAGGGAGCCTTTTGGGGACTGATCATAGGATTTCTGATTGGGTTGTCCCGTATGATCGCCGAGTTTGCTTATGGAACCGGGAGCTGCATGGAGCCTAGCAACTGCCCCACGATTATCTGTGGCGTGCACTACCTGTACTTCGCCATCATCCTGTTTGCCATTTCTATCATCATCATCCTTGTCGTCTCCCTCTGCACCAAGCCCATTCCTGATGTGCATGTGAGTACCCACTTAGGAAACCTGTCCTGTCCTTGTTTCCCATGTTCAGGCTGCAATGCCCATCTTGCCGCCCTCGGCTCAGTGAGACATCTCACACTCACATGACTACATAGTGCACCCTTGCCATTGGTGCCGTGCAGAAGCATACAGGACAGGAAGCTCAGCGTGCCGGCTGCACAGTCTCAGGCATGTGTCTTCAGCAGGAGTCCTCAAGCGCTCTACATTTCCATCCAGGGGATCTTCTCTGACTCATGCTCCCCAAGGGACAGCTCAGGTGTAAGGGTATGAGGTCAGTAGGGCAGGTTCAGGGCTACACTGGCTTAGATGCCCAGGCCCCAGATAGGAACTTATATTTCTCATAATAGTTCCACGGTCAGAACTTCCAGGGATCCCAGCAAGGGACATCCCTGGTTACAAAAATCACTACACTCAGGGAAATCTGAAGTATGATTTGCCCTTTATTTTTTTCCTAATCAAGTCTCTAAACAGTTGCCCGTAGAATTCAAAAGAAATTTCAAACAATACTAAAGTCCAATTGATTTAAGACTTCAAAAATGGCAAGTACTCTTCTTGAACTCTAGATGTCGCCCTTGGTTTAGGGTGTATTCACAGCCCTCCCAATGCAGATGAAGATGACCAATGAGAGGCCATTTTCACCATAAGCAACATAGTCTGGTAACCCAATCCAGCTGGCATTCCACCTTTTCCAGGTTCCCAAGGAACAGAACAAGATCATATTCATCCATAGAGAAAGACAAAGGGTTTTGTTAACTCATGTCAATAGAGATGGTGCCTCCAGTTCTTCCCAATTCTAAATGGCTCTTGATTCTACAGCTTCTCCCCATACGATGACAAACACACACAGTACAACAATGTGATCTTATGCGGTTGGTCTGGACAGATAGGTGTCTAGTCTTGTTTCTCAGAACCAGTGCTAAAAGGAACGAATTCATTTCTCCTAGGTAGCAAGAGTTCATTCATTCAAACCACTTATTTCTGTATTCAAGGCATCTTCTTAGCCTCTGAATATGCATACATCACAGGGGCTAGTGTGTACACGTCTGTGATTGACACCTAAGTTCCTGACATATTTAGATATAATGCTGTGGATGGGAACTGTTATCTATGTTCTTATTGGTACTGAGAGGCCACATTCCTGTTTCTTTCTTGATGCATAGCTCTTTGTCCTCCCAGCTCCTTGGCCCAAGGCCCTGTTGGGATCTCCCTGTTGACCTGTTCTGCTTCCTCCACAGCTCTACCGCCTGTGTTGGAGCCTGCGCAACAGCAAAGAGGAGCGGATCGACCTGGATGCCACCGAGGAGGACGTCAATGAAGCCCCAGAGGAGACCTTTGAAATAGGTGAGTGCCTTCATCAAAGCCCAGATCTCTCTTCTAGAGGGAGGATGGGAGCGGGCTAGGGAGGTGTGAGAGGAGGAAACGAGGTTTGGGACATCCACTCAAAGGTTGTGGGTACAGCGGAGGAGGTACAGAAGGGGAGGAGGGAGGTACAGAATCATTGCAGCTCCCTCAGCCCTCACAGTGTACAGCCTTCAGTGATGAAGGGTGGGTGAGGAACTTGCCACCCTGACTTGATCTGGGGCATGGCCAGGGCCAAGGGAAGAGTCAGAGCTCTTCTGACATAGCCTGTGAACTGAAAGCAGATGGAATCACAACTACGGTTCGTCCGAATGACATCAGCAGGATGGAACAGAAGCTCAGGATCTTATGTCTTACCTGCCTAAGATTTAGAGAACCAAATTTCTCAGGCAGTCCATTGAGATCATTCTTGGTCAGCGTTCAGACACTCATCCTGATCATGGAGAAATGCTTTCCTCAACTTCTATGTTCTTCTCCTCCACGGAGAATGGTTGTGTTAATGTGTGGTGTACACAGGTGTGGGAGCTCAAGGGCGTATGTTTCTTCCTCCTCCTCTTCTTCTCCTTCTTCTTCTTCTTCTTCCTTCTTCTTCTTCCCCTTCTTCTTCTTCTTCTTCTTCTTCTTCTTCTTCTTCTTCTTCTTCTTCTTCTTCTTCTTCTTCTTCTCCACCTCCTTCTCCTCCTCCTCTTCCTCCTCCTCCTCCTCCTCCTCCTCCTCCTCCTCCTCCTCCTTCCTCTTCTCCTTCTTCTTCTTCTTCTTCTCCTTCTTCTTCTTCTTCTTCTTCTTCTTCTTCTTCTTCTTCTTCTTCTTCTTCTTCTCCTCCTCCTCCTCCTCCTCCTCCTCCTCCTCCTCCTCCTCCTCCTCCTCCTCCTCCTCCTCCTCCTCCTCCTCCTCCTTCTTCTTCTTCTTCTTCTTCTTCTTCTTCTTCTTCTTCTTCTTCTTCTTCTCCTTCTTCTTCTTCTTCTTCTTCTTCTTCTTCTTCTTCTTCTTCTTCTTCTTCTTCTTCTTTTTAATTCTTACCCAAGGATGTTTTTCCATTGACTTGTAGAGAGAGTGGAAGAGAGAGGGAAAGACAGACAGAAATATCAGTGAGAGAAACACATTGGTTGGTTGCCTCCTGCATGCGCCCCAACCAGGGCCCGGGCCTGGGAGGAGCCTGCAACGAAGGTACATGCCCTTGATCGGAAAGGAACCCAGAACCCTTCGGTCCGCAGGCCTATGCTCTATCCACATAGTCTAATGGGCTAGAGCAAGGTCATGTGCTCTTTACCTGGTGTTGGGCAGAAGGTCTCATCCCGCCACCTGAAGGGAGCGCACATACAGCAGAACAAGTCCTGCATCTGGCCGTCAGGAATATCAGAGAACCCTAGCTCTGGAAAGGGCCCGGAGACCAGTTGGTCTTATCGCCTCATTTTGAAAGCATATACATGGAGACCCCGGAATAGAGAGGCTTTGCCAATGGCCCCAGCTCTGACACAATCTGCCTTTGATCTCGAAAGACTTTTCCGTTCTGACACCTGTGGCTACACAGGAAGTGCAGAAGGAGCCTCAGCCGTAGGGCAGCTGATCCTGGTGCTGGAAAAGGCAGCCCCTTCCTGCTTCCCGGCAGCTGGCATGGCCCCCACTTCTCCCACCTCCAGAAATGTCCCCACATTGAGGGAGAACACCATAGACTTTAAAATACTCACCATGCAATGAGGAGTATTTTGAATGTTTTCGTGCAGGCAAAAGATTATTATTAATTTACTAGAGGCCCAGTGCACGAAATTCGTGCATGGAGGGGTCCCTCAGCCCGGCCTGCACCTTCTCCAATCCAGGACCCCTTGGGAGATGTATAACTGCCGGTTTAGGCTCGATCCCACAACCGGCAGTCAATCATCCCTCTCGCAATCCAGGACCGCTGACTCCTAACTGCTCACCTGCCTGCCTGCCTGATTGCCTCTAACCCCTCTGCCTGCCTGCCTGATCGCCCCTAACCGCTCTGCCTGCCTGCCTGATTGCCTCTAACCCCTCTGCCTGCCTGCCTGATCGCCCCTTATCCCCTCTCTCTCCGCGCCTGCCACTGTGGCTTTGTTCGGAAGGATGTCCAGAAGATATCCAGTCTATCTGGTCTAATTAGCATATTACCCTTTTATTAGTATAGATTTGTTTTTGCACCAGAGGACAGGGTTAAGACCTGGTTGGAAAGAACTCACCCAGTTTTAACTCAAAGAGGCAAGATCGTGTAGAGACAGCATGTGATAGTGGGATTCAGGAAGCACTGAGGTTGAATCCTGACTTCTCTACTCACTCCCCTTGGTGAGTGATTCCATTTTTCCTAAAGCTCAGGCTCCTCACATGCAAATATTCACAGTGGTAGCCTAGGCTTCACAGCGCTGTTGAAAATCTTGAGTGAAATCATGCTCCACAACAGAATCGGGCATAATCATACCGTTGTGATGGCCACGGAGGAAAAGGTTTCCAAGTTTATCTGAAAGGCGGGAGCAGCCAGTGTGCATCCATCAGGGATGCTTAGAGGGGACTCCCACGCTGGCTGGAGAATTTTAGCTTAGTGACTTCTGAGGTTTGTGGCAGTACTTGAATTCTGTCGTTTCTTGGTGAACCTATGGCGAAATCATACTGAATGTCCCGCCCTTAAAGTACAATAAACTAAGATCTCTAGAGGGCTTTTATAAACAAGGGGTGTCCCCTCATCATTCTTCAAGAAACAGCAGTATGAGAAGTCACCCCTATATCATTGTTACCACCACCACCAGCATCATGGCAGATAATGGTATGACCACAATGCATTTTAATTATGAACATCTTACTCTAGTCTAGTGTTTCATTTTGGCACATCATCCTTTTAAAAAACAGATAATACAAGTATAATTCTTCCAATTTTACAGATGAATAAAATGAGACATAGAGACTTTCTGGAATATTTTCTGCAGAAGGCAAGGTCTTTTACAATCCAAATTTAAAATAAAATAAAATAACTTATGTATATGGTTTAAAAACAAACAACACAAAAAGTTCTACATTAAAAAGTAAAAATGGACCCACTTCCATTACTTGGCCCAGAGGTGACCACCATTGAGAGTTTTTTTGTCCCCAAGAGAATTTTTAAAAATATTTTTTTATTGATTCTAGAGAGGAAGAAAGAGAGGGAGGGAGAGAGAGAGAGAAACATCAATGATGAGAGAGAATCATGGATCCGCTACCTCCTACACGCCCCACACTGGAGAGTGAACCCACAACCTGGGCATGTGCCCTGACCGGGAATCGAACCGTGACCTCCTGGTTCATAGGTCGATGCTCAACCACTGAGCCACACCTTTTAGTTCCTCCTGCTTCTGTAGCCAACAATTCTTTTATTCCTTTTCCCCAACACAGAAGTGGCCGAGGAGAAAAAAGGATGCTGCAGGAGGGCCTACGACATGTTTTGTGGCCTGGACCAGCAGAAGGGCCCCAAGATGACAAAGGAGGAGGAGGCAGCCATGAAGCTGAAGCTGACCGACACGTCCGAGAAGCCTCTGTGGAGGACAGTGGTGAACATCAACGGCATCATCTTGCTGGCCGTGGCCGTCTTCTGCCACGCGTTTTTCGCCTGAGTCCTGCCTTTGGCCGCCGACCGCTCTCACAAAGGCCAGACTGTTTACTCTGCCCCCCTCTAGTCCCTCCTGGGGTGTTGAGGGGGAACCAGCCGGTTGTAAATTTTGCCCAGTTGATAAATGTGTACATGTGTTATTATAGGAGAGCCGGACCAAGGTAACCAGTTTGCTGTGAACTTAGGTATTTGAGGCCAGTGTGAGACAGTCAGCTGTACATAGCGTGTCAGAGCCGCGGGAGAAAAGTCTGCTCATTGATGGGAATGCAGACTGAGAAACAGAACCCTCGAGATGCTGGGGGCACGTTTGTCTCAGGGCGATTGGGCGTGTCCACATTGTTTGTGACCCTTGACTATTAGTGTCCAGAGTTCTGGCCTCCCTGGTTCCTGCCACTTTCTCTATCGGATCCCCCTTATCCGTGTTTTTTTTTTTTAAAGAAAGATTTCACTCTTCATCATACCCCTGTTAAGTTGTTTTCTTGGCACAAGAAAAACCAATCTGGTAAACTGATCAACTCATGGAAGCTGAGGGTGGGAGCTTGCTGGTTCCTATCCTGGGTGCTTGTTCTTTGAAGGAGAGAACGGAAGGGGGGGGCGTGGTGGGGCTGCGATTAGTACTTACCCCAAAGCGGCACAAAGCCAGATGGAAGTATTGCTGTCACAACGGAGGCATTTTTACCATTTTGGAAGTTCAGAGGGAAGACCACAAACCGGCGACCGTCAGCAAGGCAACCTTTCAAAAGCAGTCAGTCAAGAATAATGATACTGAGCAAACCATCCACAACTCTCAAGGCCCGTGTGTGTGTGTGTGTGGGTGGGGGGGGGTGGGATGTGGGGTGGGGGTGGGGTGTGGGGGGAGATAATCTTGAGTCAAGAGGATTTTCTGGTTTCCTTAAAAATGTCCAGTGGGGGTGCCACGTGTTTGGGATTTCCCTCACGTTGGCATTCGAGGTGCCTGGAATGTTCTAGCCCCTCGGCAACGTGTGTGTGGGCTGAATGGCTAATATGGGCATTATTTATGAACACATGCTTTGTTTTGGGGTTAACCTTTTTCTGTGGCTGCACAAAGTACACTCTGGAGTGACTATCCTGCGTTTCCAGGGGCCACTCTTCCTCATGATGCGGGTGTTGACATATTGACTGAGAAGTTGACTCTGTGTCATATCCCAGAGCAAATGTGCCTCTTGGGGGGCGGGGGGTCCGTCATCTCAAAGCCGCCACGCTGTCCTGAACTATTGAGACAATTAGCCTGAGATTCTCCTCCCCGTGAGTTCACGTGACCACAGCCCTTACTCTTTCCAGTTGTCTAGACCGGCCATCACCCATTGACCAAGGTTAGGGCAGGTGGTCTCCGTTCGGGTGGGCGTGCTCCACACATTTCGCTAAGCGGAGTATATTTCTTGTTGAACGTGTTTGTGTCCCAGGGAGAAGGTTTTAAAATGCAATGACTTTAAATAGAATTCTTTCCATTCCACCTGTGAAATCTCAACGATATGGTAATAGAGGCTCATGAACGTGCAGAAAAGGTCAGGATGTTAGTTAGCATGGACGGATCTCAGGCGAGCTTAGAGAAGAGCTGGGATCTGGGGCTGCACGGAGCTGAGAGTGGTCCCTGGGTGTAAAACGGCTCAGCAGGCGAAGGAGTGGCTTGCGCTTGTGGAAGGAACCCCAGAGGTCACTGTTTGCTGAGCCCTTCTGTTCCCCTAAAGCTAGGAAGGGGAGAGGGAAGCGTGGAGAGTTCCACGTGGCTGGCATTGCTCGGTGCCCTCGGCTTTGTGTGGAGTGTGCGGTACTGTTGAGATTGGAGCGGATACAGGGCCAGGGTCGACGGCTGGTGGACGGCGTGGGCACGAAGCAGCTCGATTGTCTTGGATCCCAAGTCTGGCTTTGCTAATGATTCATCGTGTCTGTTGTGATAAATTATTTTGTCTCGACTGTGTGTTTTTTTCTCTTTGAAAAAACGGGAACCTTTGGTGCTTATAGTATCTACCTACCTCCTCTGGGTGCGACGCGGTCGCGTGGGAACGGGAATGGGAGATACATCCAGGAGAGATGCCGTACGGGTGTCCTATTAAACTGCATTTGGTCCCCTAATGAAAATGTATTACTTTGATAAAAATAAACACACCCAAAACCATGACTTCTAGGTTTCCTGTTCTCTAGACAAATACCGACCGTGTCTGTGGGGAGCTGTGGTTGGGGTAAGATATAGATTAGGAAGCAGGTGCTGAGGCAGCAGAGACAGAATAGAGCAACTTGAACAAAAGGTAGGCAAGTTCGGGAAAGGACTTCTAT